GTGTCTGTAAAGATATGCACTCGGAACCGTTCTCAGGCTGCATCATTGATTTGTTTCTATGCCTCACATCCAGTACGGTAACGAGTAGTCTCTCATGCTTTTGGCATCGTATTCCCTACCAATATCAGAAGTAATGGTCAACCTTGCTGAGTTGCTTTGGAGTTGCTGACAGTGACAATGACATTTGAGTGGGAAAGCACGAGTCATGTGATCGTGGTTCTTAATCCTTCGACTCGCCGTTTCTCACAGACCACAGTTGTCGTAACCTCCGCCTCACACCACGCCAGCAACTAACTACGTGTGATAACTCTATCCCACCGATCGCTCCATCGTATGCAGTGAACCTGGGCACCACACTGACGTCTGCAGGCGTCTCGCTCAGGCCCCTCTGTTGTGCCCTGTCTGCTCCGCTTGGATAAGCACTCATAGATACAAACAGCACGGCCTCCTGGCCTGTTAGTAGCCTGCATATAGCCTCCTATGTGCTCTGCAGGCTGCATGTCGTGTTTGCAGCGCTGATACCTGTATGGTGCCTTTCAACGGGCCCCCACTCACCCCACTGACGTCAAGTCCCTTGGTGCCTTCCCCTCCTCCTTAAATTCGCGCCTTGCCCTCACACTTCTCCACCAACCGCGCGTCGACCTACACACAAAATACCCTCACATACCCCGGATATCACTCACTATGCCTCTCTTCGGATCCGCCCGCGAGCCCTCTCCTCCCCCTCCTCCGCCTGAGCCAGAGCGTCACGGCCTCTTCGGTCGCAAGCGCCAGTCTACGCCGCCCGTCCAGGAGAGTCATGATGATGGCGTACAACGCCGCGGGTCTATGTTCTCTCGTAGCTCTGCGGGACGTACATCGCCCACCGGCACGGCTTCTACCAACCGCACCGGTGGTGGCTTCTTCAGCCTGCACCGCGGATCCAACTCAGACTCCAGCGGAGAGCTCTCTCATGTTGGGAATGATCCAAGCATCATCGCTGCAAAGCAGAAAGTGAACGACGCGGAACGCTTTGAGCGCGAGGCCGATCATGCGCTGAGCGTAGCTCGCTCTGCTGTCCGCGAGGCGCGCGATCATGTACGGATGCTCGAACATGAGGCCCTTGAAGAGTATGTGTTCTTCACCCCTCTTATCACAGAAATGAATCTAAACCACGGTTTCTATTACAGGGCAAGACGGGCCAAACAAAAGCAGCAGGAAGCGAAGAATGTCTCCAAGAGCGCGAAGCATCTCGGCCGCCATGGCTGAGCGCTGAGCGCTTGAGCGACGAGCATGGCGGATTTCAAGGAGAATGCTCCTTCACCCGTCTACTACGATTGTTGTGCTGTCCCTTCTTGATCCTGTGTATGTTGTATGTTTTACTTTCTTCTGCTTTCCCCGGGGTTCCTTTGAATAATGGACAATGTTGGACGATTACTCCGCACATCTGTACACCATCTACGACCAGTTCATCTTAATGTTGTATCAGATCGCGCCTTGTGTCATATTCGACTGAAAGGCAGGTACATAAGTATCACTGTATCAGGACATGGACCAGTGTGTCTCGTGACGAAATTTCCCGAGAAGTCAGATCTCCGAGTTCACGTTCAAGCTTCATTGAATCATCCACTCCCACTACTTTCCAACCGCCCATATCCGCTCATCTGCACTCTTTATTACCGTCCTATAAAACAGCCATGCGGATGGTATGTCAGCTGTCCTCTGCATGCACACCGGGGCAAGTCTGAAGGTTAGCATGCAGCTCCCACAGGAAGAAGAAACCGGCGACGACGGCACCCAAGTCAGCTGGGGTACGCCCTTGCTCACTTTCCCTCGCCCGGTCTGAAGGGAAATGAACGGATCTTACCAGATGACCAGCAACGTATCAACACGTTCTCGAAGCTGAACGCGCGTATACGGTCAATCATGGAACGCGTGGAGGTGCTCAAGGTCCGTGTGGGGTGCAGTCATCTGGGTCATTGGCCATTTCTCACATATCGATTGGCGTCGCTCGATTGAATGGGTAGCAAGAGAAGGAAGCGTTGGATGATCTGTCTTTAGAGCTGGAGCTCGCGGACGAGGACGAACTCGTACTGTGCGTCATCTTCTCCTCTGCACCTTTCTTCCCTGATGTTTTCCGTATACATTCCTTCGATCGCTCGGACCCAGATATCGCGTCGGGGAAGCCTTCTTGCACATGCGACATACACAAGCAACACGCAGACTCTCCAAGGACCAGGCAGCAGTTGATACGGAGATCAGCCAGCTGGGCACGCGAGCGGACGAGTGCGAGACAGAAATGAAGGCGTTGAAAGTCGCGCTATACGCTAAGTTTGGGAACGCGATCAATTTGGACGAGTGACCGCATGTTCTTAGGCGGCCGTAGGTCGTGCACGATGTACGATGCTTTTGAGACCCCAGGTATGGCAATATGGAATGAAAGCTGGACCAGTCTCGCGATTATGCGTAGAGTATACAGAGTAGGGTGCGTTCAAGTTGGTACGACGAGTCCTGATCGTCCGTTGTTCCAATGCCCTTCTACTCCCTCTTCGACGGAGCTACGCCACCCGTCAACACACTCGGCAGCTCACCGCCTGCGCCCACCAGAAGGCCTACACTTGCTGCCACAACCACGAATAATGCGATCGTCGTGCCCGCCAACAGGACAAAAGATCTACGCCCGCATCGCGTTAATGCTTCGGCACAATGGAGTCAAGAAAATAACACGCACGAGCTAATGTCCCGGCGTTCACAGCGCTCGCCAGCCCAGTTCTCTGTCAACCCCTTTTCGTTCTTGGTCGCTACACACGAGCACGCGAAGCACTCCTTTCCGGCTTTAATCCCTGCGGCGCACTTGCCGTTACCGGAACACGAGTTGGTGGAGTTCGTGCACGCCTCTTCCGTAGCGAAGCAGAGCGCGTCAGAGACGAGCTGCGGAGGAACGGACGACGGAACTGGGTCTTGACGCTTATTGAGGACGTCCGCGGTAGGGGATGTGAGGAGCACAATGCGGATATTTGGGTGCGCAAGCGCGGACTGAAGCGCTGCGCGAAGGGTCGTGGTGGCGAGCGAGTACTGTTCACTCGTGCGACCATAAGCTTTCGCGATAGCATCGAGTCCGGTGAGGGTGAAAGCGCCAAATTTGTCAGAGGAGGTGGTGGACTCCTCAAGATATGAAATAAGGGGGGTGAGAGAGGAAAGGAAAGCCTCTGTGGCTGGGTGGGGGACGGAGAAGAGGTCAAGTGTTGCCGGGAGGGTTGTTGTGGATGATTCGGAGGATGGAGAAAGGGATGCTGAGACATGGTTGTAGACGTGCTGCGCTCGCGCGAGGAGAGTTGAAAGAAGATCCGAAGGGTCGAAGGACGTGAAGCGAAGGGAGAACGATGGTTTGAGTGTGTCCGGGATCACATCTATTTATGCAGAGTTAAGGAGCGAAAATACGGGAAGGAGGGGATGGCGCACCCTTGATATACGGCTGCTCCACGCTCAGCAAAAGACTCTCTGTTTCGCCTTGGCCAACGAAAGGTTCAGAGAAGATGGGGAGCTGGCCATCGTCGAGAGGCTCAAAGCGCTCAAGGCGGAGGTGCTGCGCGATGAGTGCACTGGCGCTACGTGAGCTGGCAGGGTGGTTGTTGTCGAGAGGAGGATGCAAGTAGACGGTGGAGGCGTGTACGAGGAGGGGGAGAGAGAGAACGCCGAAGATGAAGGAACGATGCATGGTGGTCGTCGACGGCTTCGACGAGCGGGTGTTGTGCAAGTCGGAGGCGCCGGCGCCGGCGACTGTTTGGGTATGTTGACGTTGCGAGGGTTCGGGCCTGATCGGGCCGCCGGGGTCCTGACGCTCGCTGACGATGCCGGATCCGGGGCAGACAAACCATGCACCTGTGGCTGTCTCCTCGGAGCACACTACAACCCCTCCTTGCTTTCTTACCACCATCACATCCGCTACGCAGAGGGAGTCGCCATGCCCCCTCTCTCTGTGCTGTCTATGCCGCACATCGTTGATGCCGTTGACCTCGTGCAGCGCAACTTCACGGTCGACAATATCACCTGGGACAATGCGAAGAACCTCGTCATTTTCTATCTCGTCTGGACGCGTTCCATCAAGGCCTACCGTCATATTCGCGCTCGGGGGCTTATTTCGACCGTCGAAGACGCGTACAAATGGATAGCGCAGGTCCGTGCATCTTGCACACTTTCTCCCACGTAGTGCTGAAACTCCCCCGATCGGGTAGCGCGTTATGCGCGTCGTCATCCGTTCACCGTGGCTCAAGGATCGCGTCGAACTCGAGATGGGGCAGGCAAAAGCCTCTATCCAGCGTAGCCTTATTCCTCAAGGCCCTGACGTCGTCCGGCATCTCGCCCTACCCATGAGCAGCCGATCCTTGGATGACATCCTCGCGGACATGGAGAAGATGGACACGGATGGACCCTCGCATACGGACTACAAGGAAGGAAAGCTTTCCGGCGCAGTGTATCGTGAGTTTCTCTTTGTCTTGTTCGCGTGGTGTGTTTTCCGCGAGGTGTCATACTTGCGATCAGAACCCGAGCGTCTCGGACGAGCGCCTAGGGACTCTCAGAACCTAAACATTCATCCATATGGACGGCAGTTCAAGATCGTTCGGGGCCGAATGTGTGCATAACACGCACGGCCTTCCTCCCCGTCCCATGCCAACCACATTGATTGTTTTTCGTTTAGACGAGAAAAACAGCTGCCTCGTGCCCTCCATTGACGCTTTACGTACCCGCAGATCCGTTCCTTCCCCGATTTCGGATCTGTCGTCCGCTCTGGCTCACCTTCTCCTTGGTTGATCGCTAGCCACATACTTACCTGGCCGTAAGCGTAAGACTCTGACTCGTAAACGGCAACTTACAAGTTACGAGTAGATAGTAAGTTAGTAACTACTAACCGACGACCGTAAAAGTCCTTCACGTCTTTCTAAGAGGAAGACTTAAAACTTTGATTCTCATTTTCCGCCTGATCACATGATCTCTTCGATGTGAGAGATGGAACAAAAGAGTTCAGATACGGGGAATCGAACCCCGAGCTGCCGCGGAACTCTCCATGAGAGGCGGCAATGTTAGCCGTTACACCATATCCGACATATTAAAGGGCCAACAGTAAACAGTCAGAGCTGAGGGATTTGCGCCGCTTGAAATCGGGACTTGTAAAGGACCCGAAGCTCGGAAGTCCGAGCGTATTTGTCCGATACCTTGTTCAAACTCATCGAAAAAGTCCCCAGGCATAATACGCTCTCGCGAAGGAACATGGGTCAGACAACGTCCACTAATATTCAGGCGGCGCCGGCGTCATGCCCCGTAGATCACTCGGTGCTCGCAAAACCTTCTTCTCCTGCCCAATGCCCCATAGACCACTCGTCCACGTCCACACACATCCCTTCTACGACCTCGTCCCCCGCTGCCGCCCAATGCCCCATAGACCATTCTTCCACCTCGCGATCAGCATCCCAGTCTACGCAAGCACCCGCTCAATGTCCCATCGACCATGGCTCAACTACCCTCGACCCACGTAATAACCTGCCCACCCTTTCTCAAGCACCTGCGCCCGACCAAGCCTTGGAACTTCCAACGGAGCGCGAAACGTCGTCCATTCCGCGCGACGAGGGCTCGCGATGGGAATATCCTTCGCCTCAGCAGTTCTACAACGCGCTGGTCAGGAAGGGGTGGGAGACTCCGGAAGAACATGTAGAGACCATGGTTCAAATCCATAATTTTCTGAACGAACAGGCGTGGGAGGAGGTCTGTAAGTGGGAGGAAACTGCGGAAGGGTGGGTCATTTGGCTTGTTTCCCGAACATGTCACTCACATACAGGGCAAGTAGGAGGGAGAAACTGCAACTTGCCAGGTTCAAAGGTCGCCCAGGCGAATTATCCCCCAAAGCCCGTCTTCATCTACTTGCGGGCTGGCTCCTTCCCTCGCGGTTCAAGTACGTTCACAACTTTACACATACGACAGAAAACTGACGCAGGCTGCAGCTCTGAACCTCCCTTCGATCGCCACGACTGGATTATTCGTCGGCCCAATTCCAACACGGAGATTCGCTATATCATCGATTACTATTCTGCCCCTCCGCTTCCCGACGGATCCCCGGTGTTCAGTCTCGACGTACGACCTGCACTCGACACTGCTTGGGGCGTGACTGCCCGTGCCCAACGCGCTTGGGACGAGTTGAAAACCAGCCGCCTGGCCGAAGGACGGAATTAGAGTGGTTTCGTTCGTCGTATCTTTGAACAGTCTTCTGCTTCACCTGTTCATATAGGTTTCCCCTCTCTCAACTCATACATTTACTTTCGGGCCCCGGAGGACTGGTCAATATCATACAGGATCTTTAATACGATGGCTTCGACTTGAAAACTTGACGACGGACATGCAGAAGTGATAGCGC